GTGTGTGTGTGTGTGTTGCCTCCTTCGTCACATGTTACGGCCTTGACCGGGCTTGCATAGTTGTGTTTTAGGACATTACGTTCTGTAGCTTTCTCCTCCTCTCTGAAGTCGTGCCAACAATTGGAGAGCGTTCAGAGATTACCTGAATGCATCACTTCCTCCGTTTTTTGGACGGGTCTTTTAAATCACAAGCCGCCTGCTGAGTGTGCCGAGCCCCGCTGGTCAGTGTTCACAGCAGCGCAGCAGACTGGGACTTGCACCATATGGTCACCTTCAAATGCTGCAGAGAAGAAGAGAAACACAAAGAGGGAAAGAAATCTACGAGATTTCAGCCAACCGGGCTCTCGGTGGCTTATATTTTCACAGTTCTATTTTCGGGTTGTTGGAAAAGCTTTTGGAACAACATGACGACCATCATGAGGCACTAAACCTCTCCACTGCAAGGCCTGATAATGATAACACTTAAGGACACGCTAACTTCATATTTACTTAAAATACCTGATGTGAAGTGTAAGCAAGCTGTTATCAAAACGCTCCAAACCACACCTCATATCTGCACCCACCGATATAAACTACAGTGGATTAACAAAGTTGACGTTGCTGCTCAGTTTACAAGCTTCCGTCAGTGTGCTGCTGCCTTGACGCTGTTCTTTCCACCAGCAGCTCCTGGGCCGTCAGCAGAGGCGTTGATGCGTGGCGGTGCTGACTCGCTTTGAGTCATCATGTTACACTGTTAATATGTTCCCTCATTCAGGATGAGCTACAGGTCACGAGGCCAATAATATGCCACCTGTTAATATTCTGGATGCTGGCATGGCTACAGGAACAAAGGCCGACAGTATTTACAGTTATTCAGCTCGCTGTTCGAGGTTGACCTTGTCAGGTCGGACTCTAAACCATCTGCAGGGAAACGTCCCCACAACAAATTTGAGGATGATATTGGTTGTTTTTTCTTGTCCAGTATCTGAATATTTAATCAACAATAGGACAACAACATTAATAACTATATGAAATGCAGGATATTATCTTTTTAATTGTAAATTGGTTCCAGTGGCTCCCTGCTACAGTTCAGCAGGGGGCATACATTCATTCATTCTATCTGAAACTGTATTTTTACTGCTTTTATCATTTTTTCATAAAAGCTCTTCTGGGACGGGTGTTTGCGAGTTAGCATCCGCTATAAACACTGTGATACTTGCATCAGATTGCTGATTTCAGCCTTCCACTGGGTCCCTGCTAGACTTATATAAAGGGCCCAAAACTCAGAGGCAAAAGACTTCGCCTGAACCCAAATGAGACATAGTAAGACCCGAAACCCGACCTGACCATATCTTCAATTATATTTTAGTTTTATATGTATTTTTGCACAGTCATATGGAGGGAAAAGGAGGTTTTCTTCTTGAACTGTTCTTAAGAAAATAAGAGCTTTGGTGCAACAAAACAACGCAAATCTGGCCTGAACTGTTTGGGGAAACGTCGGGTAGCAGACTCTTCTGCTGTTATTTTACCTTTTTTCTGTCTGTACTAAGAAATAGAATTTTTGGTTGTGACTAGATCACATTTGACATTTTAATACTCTGTGTAATTTATAATTTACCCAATTTGATTAATCCAGACACTTTATATATTAGCTTTCTAATTATAAGATATTGGCAATTGTTGAAGCAGTCCAGGATGGGATTATTTCTGACCTGCAGGTCAAAAGATGTCTACATTCGGTTGAAAAGTAATAGATTTTTATATTTCTGTTGTCCCAATAGCAACTTTCATGACAATTAGTTCATTTTAAACTTGATTTCTGCACATATTTTCATCTGCAAGTCAAATCTGCTATCAGTAAAGGCATTCTTTTATCCAAATTCCACATTTACCACTGCAAATCCAATACCTAGTCAGCCCCTACAGGCTTAAAGCATATGACTGAGACTGGAATTTCTCAGTCATACATACATCAGCAGCCTCGATTTAAAAGAAACCACTATCAGCAGATTTATGGTGGCTTACAGACCCCTGCATCCGTCCGCCCTGCAGATGATTAACACCATGCTGCCACTGGCACCACATATGTCAGAAACTGAACTAGTTGATCCTTGACTCAGGCAGTGATGTGAAACTCCCCACACAGACAACCCGACACCACACTGCAGATTCTCAGTAGAGCTTTTCTCTTCTGTCCGCATCACATGCTTGTTGTGATGTCACCGTGGTGTGAGCGGTGGCCGGCGGGGCTCATCAGTCTCGTCAGGTCAGGACACACTGGTATTTCATCCAAGCATGTGGAACAGTAGCTGATATATCCGCTGCGCACCGCGGCCGCGTTGCCAACAATGTGACCGTCAGCTGGTATGCATTTAATGAATGCCACGCAGTCCTTCAGGGCTTATTCACACTGGAGGTATGTCACAGGGTTGCTGTCATACAGTAGTTTCCTCATACTGACAGCGTGTGCAAGCTGATCTGATGGGATGTACAGAAGGCTGCACTGACAGAGGGAAACAACAATACATATCTGCTGTGCAAATACTGCACAATAAAACCACGCATTATATAAATAACAAATAAAAGAGGCAGCAAATAGCAAGAACAGCTATGCAAAGAAAAATAAAATATATAAAAGATATCATATAATGACTAAACATATCCCATTTAGGGCTCAGTTTTGCTCATAAGGACCCCAACTCTAGCTCCTCAAAAAAGGGTTACTCACGTATCACCAATCATGAGCCCAGGAAAGTCGATTACAAAAACATATGTTTGCAATGTTGTTTTTGCAGGATTTGTTGGTATTTTTGTCAAAGTGGCAAAAAAATGGCTTGAGAATTGTGTTAATTGCATACATGTCTGATACCTTCATGTGCTATCTGTTCTTTTATAATTCTTCAACACGCTAGTAAACTAAAATCTTTTTCCTTTCTATTTGAATAGAACAAGAGTCCTCAAGGCCTGGTGGGGCTAAGGAACCTGGGCAACACCGTAAGTGTTTCTGCTTCACTTTGTGTGTCTAATGTGCAACACTTTGATCACCGACTGAGTCTGAGTCTTTTTGCTGTTGGTGATTTCCAGTGTTTCATGAACTCCATCCTACAATGTCTGAGCAACACTCCCGAGCTGAGAGACTACTGCCTGAGAAATGTCCATCGCACAGACCTCAACAACAACTGCAGGACTAACGCCGCTCTCATGGAAGGTAGGACCAGACTCTAAGCTATTAAAGCACATGTTGGCTGCATAATGAGGAACATTTGAGCCATAAAGTCACTCAACACTGACAAGGCACTACAGGTCTAAAGAGTAGGACACATATTGTCAGTTAAGTTTAACTCAACGCTACAGGTCTGACAACTTGACATCCTGATCAGTTAAAGGCTCGCTCACACCAGGAAGAGTGGCCACACCAAAGTTATATAACTGCACTCAGATCAGATTCCTGTAACTAAACCAGTCAAACTGCAATTTAGCAGCCAACACATCGCACAAGACTGACAGGTGGAATTTGTTCTTGCATGAAATGAAAGTAATTTCTTTCACTCTGACAGGGCTTTTAGAGGGTGAGTTTGTGTAGCAAGTTCTCACAGGTTACTAAATTCAGTGTGCAGAGCCTAATAAAACATGTATTTTCCCAAAGTTAAGTACAAAACAAATCTTTTCTGTGTCATGATTTTGTATAATGTCTCGGTAATCAGTACAAAAAAGCTGCCTTATCTATTTGTTTTCCGTTTTCTATTCAGTTACTGAAATTTCTCAGTCAAGGTCAGAGCTCTGCATCCTTAGCTCAGGCAAGCTAGCCTGAAAGAATGCAGATTTCTCTCAAAATGCAGAGAAATACCACTCTTCTCAATAAAATAACAAATTGCAGATGTTTTTTTCATGATTACGTCTCATTTTCTGTATTTTTTCCTTCTTTCCTCCACCTGCTCACTCAGAGTTTGCAAAGCTGACTCAGAGCCTGTGGACTTCTGTGACCAACGAGGCCATCAGTCCCTCTGACTTCAGGAGCCAGATCCAGAGATACGCTCCCAAATTCGTGGGCTGCAAGTAAGTCTTCGCTCCTCCTGCTTGTAAGCCTCTTCACTCAGTCCACTTCAAGAAACTCATCAGGTATACTGATAAATAAAAATTAGTGTAAATGCCAGTTAAAGTAACAGTTTCTCTCTCTCTGCAGTCAGCAGGACGCCCAGGAGTTCCTTCGCTTTTTATTGGACGGTCTCCATAATGAGGTGAACAGAGTGACTGTCCGTCCGAAGGTGTCCGTCGAGGACTTTGATCACCTCTCGTAAGTCAGCAAACCTAACCTCACACCACCTCTCACCTCTGCTCACAATAAGTCACTCATAACCTGACCCAACACCTCGCACTGCCAAAAACAACACTGCAGCTCAAATGAAAAATTATCTGTGTAATTATTTATAATTAATAGGTAATTAATTCAAAATTTCTGAGTTATGTTGCCTTTTCGAAACATCATATTAGGAAATAAGATACCAAATATGACAAATCCCATACTTATCTGGAATTGCAGACTTGATTAAGCACCTTTATAATGCCTTAAAGTGGCTTGTATCTGGAGAAAAACATGCACTTTCCATTGGATTTTAAGTTATAATACACATTTCAGTTGTCAATAAGTAAGACTGTTTGGTTTCATTCACAGGGATGATGAAAAAGGCAAGCGGATGTGGAATATGTACTTGGAGAGGGAAGACAGCAAAGTAGTGGGTAAGAGGTTTTCCTTCACGGGCTGCATAATTACCTAAAACCATCCTTGAATTTATATTAACGTAATTCTCTGTAAATCTCTTGTTTCTGCCTTTTAGACCTGTTTGTTGGACAGCTGAAGAGCTCTGTGACCTGCACCGTCTGTGGCTTCCGCTCCACCGTGTTTGATCCATTCTGGGACCTATCAATACCTGTTGCACAGGTCAGGACGCACAGATACACTACAGACAAGTCGTTACTTGTGTGCAATTGTCATATTCTGACCATAAACAGACAAAATTGTCAAGTTTGTAAAGCTGTATCATACCATAAATACAGTATAACATACTGTGCCAGGTTTCACTTCACAATTGAGCCTTCTTAAGTCCCGCCCCTTTTTGGTGTGTTCTCCAAAATTACCGTTAAGCTCGCCTCAACCAATTTGTGAAAAAGGCAACTAGCTTTTGAAGATGGTTAAAAGATAAAAACCACATCTTATGTTAGCTAATGTTTGCAAAACATTAGGAAGGGTCAGTTGCGTACATAAGGTCCCTTCTGTGTTTACATTTATAAAAATAAATGGTGGTACAAACTGTTTGAGCTAGACTTCCACCTGTAATTTACGGTATTTGATCATATTTTGACATATTATGAGCTGTAAAGGGGTTTTCATGTAACTGTTTTCTGACTGGACCTCCTCTGTGTCTCCTCAGAAGAGCTCAGGCGAAGTGACTCTCAGAGACTGCTTGAGACTCTTCACGAAAGAGGATGTGCTGGACGGAGAAGAGAGACCGGTGAGAATCCTTGAATAGCACAGCACACTGCACATTCCTTTGTAAAGACAATATTGATTATACAGCAGCAGTATCTCACTGCCTTCTTTGTGTTTCTCTCTCAGACCTGCAACAGATGCAAAGCCAGAAGGAAATGCACCAAAAGATTCAGCATTCAGAAGTTCCCTCAGATCCTCGTGCTTCGTATCCTTTCCCCACATTTGTTTAATTCTTACAGCGTGTGGATGCATTTAAATGATGAGTGATAGGCCAGAAATATGTGGATGATTCAGTGTGCCAGCGGCCAGTTCAGTGACGAAGCTGTTTGTGCATCATCTTTTTGAATAAATATTATGACGCACTTACTAGTAACAGCAAATACAAGATACCTGCAGCCAGTCTCCCAGATAAATATAGCATATAACACTTAAAGCGGCATTAATCTGTATTTATTATATTAACAGTGGATCTAATCAGTGTATAATGTGAAAGATGTCACTCATAGTGAGGAGAAATATTCCTGCTGTTCCCCTCAGGAGCTTTTCAGCCTCTCTTAGTTCCAGCAGCAGCAGGCAGCCGTTTTCACCCAAAAAGATGTTTATAAACCCACTGTACTCTACCAGCACCAGACAGACACAGTTGGCGACTATATAATGAATAAAGGAACCTTTAGCAGCTGAAGAGCCAGATGTTTCACTCAGGAGTTAGTGAATATTAGACTTAAATTCACCGGGTGGCCGGAATAATGACTCTAAAAGAATTATAATGTTGCTTCATGTTTTGCTGGATGTATCAAAAGGGGAAAACTATTTATAAGGTGATTTTTATTTTGTTCTGATGCCCCAAAGTGGCCACAGAAATGAACATAATGGCTACTTCCAGAGTCCAGAGTGTTAAATTGTTTAAGTAAAGGTAGGATTTAAGTGTGTAAATCTAACTACTCTACTACTAAACTATAAACTGTTTGCAGTATGTTTTATATGTGGCATATGTGAAGTAACTAGAAAGTAAAGCAAATAGCTGCTGTGAAATAAAAATGACTACATACTTAATTCCCTCTGAAAAGCACTGGAAGTACAAAAGTATCACAGAATTGCTCAGTATCGGCTCCTTGACTCAACGTCCTCTCTCAGATCTGAAGCGGTTTTCAGACTCCAATATCCGAGCCAGCAAACTCTCCACTTATGTCAACTTCCCTCTCAAAGAGCTGGACCTGCGGGAGTTCGCCTCGGAGAGCAGCGGTAAGTACGAGCCAGAGGAGAGGAGAGTTCATGCACTTTCCAAGGTCGGCCGGGTTTGATGAGTACAGAGTGCGCTGGCGTTGACTGACAGTGTTTGTCTCTCCCTGCAGAGCGCGCCGTGTACAACCTGTATGCGGTGTCCAACCACTCGGGGAACGCCTTGGGAGGCCATTACACGGCCTACTGCAGGAACCCGGCGCTGGGGGAGTGGTACAGCTACAACGACGCCAGGTATAATCCCATTACCTCACATATCGTGTTATCAGAAAGATGTGCAGTGAGATTATGTCTGTACCAGCTGTTAAATGAAAATGACCTCATGCTGCCTGTACAAAGGTGTGTCAGCTGATTGGGTGTATGCGTAAGTGCCTGCGTTTGGGAGTGACTGCTGTGTACTGTAGTTTCTGTGCCCATATTTAATTAAAGTAATATGCAAATAGGGGCAAATCGCTACTGCAAGCACGTGATAGAAACAATCCTCCGTGGTATTCAGTATAATAACCACAGTGTGCTCTGTGTGTTGTGTGCAGGGTGAGCCCGGTGTCCTCCAGCCAGGTTCGCAGCAGCAACGCCTATGTCCTCTTCTACGAACTGGCCCCCTCCCCACACAGCAAATATCAGACGTGCCGGCTTTAGACGCTGCAGAGGAGTGATAAGCTGCACTAAACTAGGGGCCTAAACATGGAGTCAGAAGACACTGCCTGCTGTGAGACAGCTCCACCTAGTGGAGAGAGTACTGCCATTACATTACAGACTGTGAATGTGGAGCACAAAGACATGTTGCAGAGATAGAGAAAGAGAGAGAGAACGCCCTCTGACCTTCCTCTTGGCGTGTTTTTGAGGGAGAAGGGCGGATGTGGAAGCACATTTGCGCTTCGGGATTTCAAGCTGAGCTCAGATGTTGGGTGGAAACTGAAGTGACGCTGAGGAGATACGACCTCCGTTGTCAAAAAGTGCAGAGATTCAGCTCAAGGCACAGCTGCAAGTCAAATTTAGAATGCAGAGTATAAGAAAATCCTTAAAAAAAAGACATTTTACAGCTGTGCCTGGACTTGAATCTATACCCACTCGAGTGGATTTGTCTTCTTTTTTCATGCACTTTGAACATGGACTATTAACCTTAAGGACATTATTATTATTATTATTATTATTGTTGTTATTATTATTATTGTTATTATTATTACGTGAGGACATTACAGAGACTTGTTTTCACACACTGCAAGATATAATTTATTCTATTTAACATAATGCCAGTAACTGAAAGTGCATACTGTAAATGTCATTTAACAAAGCCTTATGGTTTCCTCTTAGAACAGTGGAAATCCACTAATGTAGCGAGGAAGTTTTGTGTCGAAGCACATTTTATTTTTGTACAGTATTTATGGACAGCGCAGTGAATGTAACTGTACTGTGGGAAAGCCAGACAAACCAAAGCAAGCTGTGTAAAATTGCATCAACAATACTTCTTCCAGCAATAATGTTGCTGACTTTGCATCCAAGTCAGTTCCGAGTCTATGAATGATTAAAATTCAATGTTAACTTGAACTGCCTCTCCTGTTTGTTTTTTATTTAGCCCTCATTTATCCGGCCAGAAAAATGGAAGTTGAGGAATGGTTCATGGGTGTAAGAGTGGTTGTATACAGATGGGTGACAAAAATTAAAGGAAAAACCTCAAACAGAGTTCTTATGCGTCCTGGAAAACCTGGATATTTAGAGACTTGTTTCCAAACATGGAAACACTTGGAAATTGATTTGAAATGAGCAAATATCCTGGAAATAATCGATGTTGTCCTGGAAAATTTTAATTGTTTTTTAGACCCTCAGACTCAATCACTGGAGACGCTGCAGAAAAACGTGTCAATACTAGGCCTTCCTGTAATTGACTGTTTGTGCACTATGCTGTGTTCTCCTGGAAAATGTCTGAGAAAATGATTTCTTAAAGAGTCTGAACCCTGGTGAATGAGTGGAGAAACATACCGAGATGATGCGGATGCTTCCACGCACAGTACGGTACAATTAAGAGATTAACATCAGATCATGCTCTGTGACATGTGAGCATCCCCAGCTGATTCTGATTTCATTGGAGGAGGATTATAATAGGATTGCAGTTCATAAACTCCTCATTTAAAGATGATGCACATCTGACAGTTCAGTGGTGTAAACCCCATAAAGGCTCTGGTCTACAGAGATGTGAAGAAACAGTCAGATGAGTCAGCCTTTGCTGTATTCTCAGTATACTTGACCCCACACTGCCCTACAAAGGCAAACTGCAGTAACTACAAGTTTGGTCAAAATTTAGTTCAGAGTGAAATTGAACATTTAAATTCTTAGTTCATTCATTGACAGTGCACTGGGGTGTTTCATTGTCTTTCCTCTTCCAACACCTTCTCATTAGGGCAAAGGAATTATTTGGTTTGTTCAATAAACCCTGGGAGAACCAGCCTACAAATTTGCATCTTTGTAAATGTGTAAATAAAATTCTTGCTAGGTGGTTGGCACCCAGAGTACGCAGGATATCTGTGTTTTTGATATATATACAGTAAAGGTTGATTTGGCCTCCTCCAGCAACAAAAGAAAATACATCAGATTATTAAACACACTTAGAAGCACATACAAGATTAGCAACAAAGCAGCTGAAGAAACTTTAAATTCAAATCCATTTTCAACGGCCAGTAAAACATGGCTAATGTCGGCCAAGTCAGGTGGACATCAGCAGTAATGATCACAATATGATATTGGTACTGTGCGTGGAAGCATCTGCATCATCTCGGGTGTAGTGTGGAGTGTAGAAAGAAACTGGTTCCTTTATCTACAGGCTTGCATGCTAGTCTCTGCCATCAGTGTATGAATGTGTGTGAATGGGTGAATATGACTCGTAAGTAAAGCGTTTTGAGTGGTGCGAAGACTAGAAAGACGTTACATGAGTGCAGTCCATTTACCATGAAACTGCTCACAACGAAGTCTGTGGATTATCTTGAGTAACTGGGTCGTGATTTCTTAAAAGAGACGTTGCTGTTGCCATCTGGTTCCATTGTATGATCTCTACGGCCAGTGTCTCAACAACTCACACCAAAACACTCCAGATGGATTAAAAGCCCTACAGGTGAAAGGAAAAATATCTGTTTTTGATTTTGGGATGAAGTGGCCCTTTAAGTCAGTGGTTCCTTAACTTTTTGATTTTCTATCACTGAGTTAAGTGACGACCCCTGACTGACATATTTTATGGATATTTCATATCATATCCAAAACTGTACAATGAACACAAACAATGAACTCAGTAACTGCAGGAAGTTTATAAAACGAGAGATTTGGAGGAATTTTGAGAAGATTATTTCCTGTTTTTTTTACAGTCTGTCTGTATTTTATGCTTTATGTTTTAAGTTAAAGTGCTTATAAGGCTTAATAAGGTATGTAAATCCTAATGTAGTCATAAATCGTGCAACCTGACATTGGATAATGTAATTACAGAGTTATGTAATCAGGATACCAAAAACAAGGTTTAATCCATTACAGCTACAGAAAATAAGTTATATTCAGTAAAAAAAATAATAATTGGGATGAATAACAGGATTAAAGTTTAAAATAGGTCAGTTTTTCTTTAAATACACAGCTGAGGACACATTTGCTAAAAATCTTGGTTTCCATTTTCTTTTCAAAGGTTACACTGTTTTATAAAACACATCAATACTTATTGATATTTATTTTCTCTTGTTTTTATTTACATATTTGGTGTTAAGGTAATTCACAACTAATTAAAAGTAATCAAGTTTAATTTTGTGATGCTTTATATATATATATATATATATATATATTCATATATTTAAAGTAACCCTAATAATATTGGCTCCTATGTAACAGGTTATTTGTGCAGTATTACCAAAACATGGGAAGCTTAAAATGTGTAATTTCCCTCCTCTGCGTTACATAACAGGCAGAGGTCAGCGAGTGTGCAGTGCCTGCTGTGAACTTCCAGCCTAAATGAGCAGATTATGGTGAGATTGGATTTGTCAGAAAAAACCTTTGACCCAGATAAAAAAACAAAGCCATCTGACAGAGGTGCTTGTTTCACACTCCGTCCACCAGAGGGAGCCGTGTGCAGTGGTGTTGAGCTTTGTGTGTATTAGACCAGTGGTTCCCAACCTTTTTTCTTAAGGTATTCCTTAAGTTTGTGTAAAGATGAGGGATTTGGATGAATTTTGAGCAGATTATTTCCTGTTTATGGAACTTTTTATCCAATTCTCTGTCAGTATTCTTGTTGTGTTTGGTATCCATTCTTAACAATCTTAAGGCTTAAATAGGCTTGTGGCGACCCCTAGTGGGGACCCCAACCACTATAGTGTAGCAACCACTGTATTAGACCAATGCTGCCATTTGTAAAAGCTATCAAAAGCTCCTATTTTATAGTCGATACCTTGACATGAATCCTTTGGATTGTCAGACAAACTGACTCTCAGATACATATTCTGTTAGCAGGAAGAATGATTTTCAGAAAGATGAATCAGTCAGAAAATGTTCA